TCTCTCTCTCTCTCTCTCTCTCTCTCTCTCTCTCTCTCTCTCCCTCTCCCTCTCCCTCCCTCCTCCCCTCCTTACCCTTCTCTCGATCTCTCTTTCTCTCTTCTTTTCCTTTTTAAAAGATTGGCAGTGGGGATAATAAACAGGAGGCGAATATATGCTTCACACAGAAAGAGACAAACCCGGAATTCAAGACAGTGGAGGATATGGCTTGTAAGCGCCCAGGTTGTCAATATAAATTGATTTATAGTTTCATTCTATATCTGAAGAGACCAATTGAGAAATAGTTCACTGTTCACAATTGTAATCCCTATAACTGAGAGACTGAGTCAGGAGGATTTGTGGTTTGGGTGCCTTAGTTAAATATCAAACTCCATCCCTGAAGAACAGGAAGAGGGGAGGGGGGACTAAGTGTAAACTGTGACCCTGCAGTCAGATGGTGCAGTGTGTGCAGTACAGGACACTTCCTAGACCACAAAGTTCAATGTTGAAAACAAGTCAATTTCATACTCTAATAGTCTCTAACATTCCAGCATGAAGGGGGGAGGGTCACATGAGCCTCCCCCTCCAGCAGAGGAGCTATGGGCAGTTGATGACTGCCAGGAGAGGGAAAGTCGGTTTTCTTCAGGAAACTTTGGTGTGTTGACTATCCAGGGGATGATTCTACTCCATGTGTACATGGGCAGCACTGACTGGACTTGGTGGTCTTTGAAGAAGGGGAGGAAGAGGAATGGGGAGGGAGGGAAGGAGCGGGGGAGGGAGGGAGGGGTGGGGAGGGAGAGAGAGAAAGAGGAAGAGAAAGAGAGGATGGGGGAAGAAGTTATTGGGAGGGGGACTTCGGGGTGAATTCTGTTGTAAGGTAGCAGTAGAGGGTAAGTGAAGCTGAGTATGATTAAAATAAATCAGATTTATGAAGTTCTCAATTGTTAAAGAATAAAGTTGTTAATAAAGTTAACTTTTATCAGAGTACAAGATACACAGAGAAGTGCAGGCTGGGCAGTGGCCGGACTCTGTAAGCATGAGGACCTGAGTTCAAATCCCCAGCCTCAGGTGAAAGCCTGGTAGTGGGAAGGGGAGCCAGGGGGATCCCTGGGGCTTGCTGACCAGTCATCCTGGCTAAATCAGAAATCCCTGGTTCATTCCTCAGGTTCAGTGTGAGAGTGAGGATAACACTATTGTTGACCTTCACAGGAATGCACACCCACATACAGCCACACATGCACATACATACAAAATCACAGAAAATCTGACTAGACAGCTTGATGTATATTTACAATGTGACATATTTGTATTTGTGAAACTCAGATTTTTTTCATAGAACATCCCAAGTACTTCAGAAGGAGGAATAGGAGCACACACCTATAATCTCAGGACTCAGTCTGAGGCCCAAGGTTTGCAAGTTGAAGGACAGCCTGTGCTACATAAAGGGTGCTGGCCAGCCTGGGCTACAGAGTGAAACTGCTTCTGCCCTCTACCTTGAAAACAAAAGTGTAGCTAGAGTTTTCCTGTCTTGCCCACAGTCAGGACAAATCTCTCTCACCCACTAGTCCCACAGCCTCTCAGACCCAACCAAGTAAACACAGAGACTTATATTGCTTACAAACTGTATGGCTGTGGCAGGCTTCTTGCTAACTGTTCTTATAGCTTAAATTAATCCATTTCTATAAATCTATACCTTGTCACATGGCTCATGGCTTACCGGCATCTTCACATGCTGCTTGTCATGGTGGTGGCTGGTAGTGACTCTCTTTTGCCTTCCTGTTCTTTCTTTTCTCCTCTCTGTTATGTAGCAGGAATCTTAAAAGTTCTTATTAATATAATCAAACCCGAGGCCAGTTATTGGGGTCCATGCTGGTAGATCAGAGAGACAGAACAAACCACAGCTATCTCACCTCACCAATTCCTCAGCTGGTCCTGTTTCCTCAGACTGGAAGCCTCTGAGTCCTCATCCAGAATGAATCTCAGCTGAACTGTGTTG